TAAGCTTTGTTCTTCAAGGTTGACTTCTTCTTTCTTGCTTAGCTTCCTGGGCCTAACTTCTTTCTCGAGCTGAGCATGCTCTTAAACTTAGGTCCATTTTACTGGATTCCATAGCTCACAAAATGCCTTGTTCATTAAAGCCCGGTAAAAATCCGTTTTTACGCCATTTTAAAGATAAGCCTTAAAAATAACAAATATACAAGAAAGTCTGTAAAACACATTTTATTAACACGCTAAATAAACTAAACCATGCAATTAAAGGCACTTGAATATGTAATATTCGGTGCTTATCAATGTCCCCATCACATGCTAAGTTTAATGTCTCTAGCTAGACGTAATGCCATTTTCTAACCCGCATCCAACAAATCAACTACCTCCCTCATCCCAAGACTTCTCCTTTGGGTATTTATGAAATTTGAAGCAATAGGAACCAATGTGGTTCCTTTGGGACCCAAGAAAGAATACTTAAGCTTATCCGATGGTAGCTTAGGCTCAAGCTTGTGAGTAGACTCACGAGAAGGATAAAGGGGAGAACTCGAAATCAAAGAAAGATGTTCTTTTGTTGGAAAAACTATGACTGAATCCTCATCAATGACATCAAGAAGAAAGCACTCATCTTTTTTTTGAGGAATATGGAGTGACATTGAAGATGTTTAATTTGACCTTCATGTTCCCAAAAGAAATATCCATAACCCCAGTCCTATAGTTAATGTTGGCATTTGTTGTAGCTAGGAATGGACAACCAAGGATCACATGAATACATCTATTGGGATTGTGGAATGGCTCTGTATCAAGAACAAGAAAGTCTACTGAAAAATAAAACTTGTCCACTTTAATAAGACCATCTTCAATTATCCCACATGGTTGCTTCATAGATCGATCAACAACTTACAACACAACCAACATGGGTTTAAGCTATCCCAAGCCCAATTGCAAATACACTGAGTAAGGAATAAGATTAACACTAGCTCCGAGATTAAGAAGTGTTCTCTCTATTGCATTATTTCCAATGACATATGAAATTGTAGGAGCACCAAGATCTTTGAACTTCAGAGGTGTGTTAAGTTGGATTATTGCACATTTGCTCGGTAAGTAATATTTTCATAGAGACTTGGCTTTTTTATTTTCTCTTTTGGTTGCACAAATCTTTTAGAAATTTTGCATAGGCTAGGATTTGTTTGATAGCTTTAAGGAGAGAAATATTGAATTTTACTTGCTTGAAGACCTCCATCATGTCTTGAATTTTCTCCCCTTGTTTACCAAAGTTAGAAGGCTCCTTGAGACGTTGAGGGAATGGAGATTGTGGCTCATATGGCGTCTCAAGGATATGAGTGGACAAAGAAGTGACTTCATTCCTTACTCCTTTGGTGATGGATGTATTTGGATTTGAATAAGACTCCAATGGATTTGAAATTTTTAGATTTGGAATCCTATGAATTTCACCATCTTCCCTCTTCTCCACAACTTTGTTGTCAGTCACTCTTCCACTCCAAAGTGTGGTAATGGCATTAACTTGCTTATGACGAGTACTTGAATGATTAATCTCATCAATCATATAAGTTTGCCCTTTTGGATTTGCAATGGGCTGACTTGGCAATTTCCATTCCTCTCTTTGACTCAACACTTCAGTTTTAGCCCAACTTGAGCTTCTAGCTTTATTATTGACTAGGAATGGGAATGCAACAATTGAGTGTTGGACTCAAGGTTGCTAAGTGCAGCTAAGATATTCTCTTCAAATGCAAAATTTCTAAGAGGTGGATGAGGATTGGATTGACTATAGAATGGTTGAGGATGATAGTTGGATGATGAATTGAACGAATTGTTGTTTGGAAAAGAGTTTGATTGATTTTGAAATTGTCCCTGAGATTGTAGGACGGGATTACCTTGGACTTGATTCCTCCATGAAATATATGGATAATCCTTCCATCCCGGGTTATAAGTGTTGGAATATGGATTGTAACCTGGTCTAGAGAATGTGGCATTGGCCTGCTCTTGAGAGATTTCGGAAGATTGACCCCTTAGAGGAAAATTTCCGGCGAGATGAGAAGGATTAGAGCATATTGAACACACCTCATGTGGTATGGAAGAGTGCTGTTGATAAGCGCCCAATATTACATACTTAATCGCCCTTAATTGCATTAGTTAAGTCCATTATTTGATCTTTGTATATAGATTATCTTCATTTTTGTGTTTTTACAGGTTTATTTACTAAAAAGAAATAAAAATAAGGTTTTAAGGGTTTTTGAAGAACAAGTCATATCGGGCCTAAATATCAAGTGATTTTCAAGAAGAGATAGACTAAATATTCAATGGACACATTCAGTATTACAGAATAAAAGAAAGAAGTCAAGGATGAACCTCGCATCCAGACGCGCAGGACTTCGTGTCCGGATGCCATCCTTCGCGTCCGGACACCAGCCTACGGGTCCCCACTTTTATTTGGTCAAAGTTTGTTCCCTTTTACTAGGGAATTTGAATTTCAATGGGCTGGGTTGTTTGGCAACCCATTTTGGGATTAAGAGGGGGCAAAGACTTGTATTTTGAGGACGAATTTTATTCTAGAAAAATAAATTGAGAGAGAAAGGATTTTCCTTAGGGTTCATGTGTTATATTATATTCATGGGGCTGGAGTTCTCTTTTTCGTCTTCAATCCTTGAAGCTGCTGCCATGTCAATAAGGAACTAACTCCCTTCCTAGGTAGTTAATGTAACCTAGACTAAGTAAATATGTTGTAATTGCTTTTTCAATTTGGGGATTCATCTTGTATATATTTGATTTCATAAATTAGAAGTTGTTTACATTGAATTGATGTGTTTTTACATTGAATTAATGTATGTGATCTTCATTTGAATATATAATTATGTTGATATGTTTATCTTGGCTTATAAATCATATTGGCACAATTATGCACTTGATATTCCTATAGTGACAATGGGAATGAAATTATGAAATGGTTATATTGGCATGTTAATTGAGAATTTGTATAGATTATACTTAGGGAAGATGGACCATGCTACACCTTTATGCTCTGTTCATTAGGAAGGAAGTAAATTGGATGGAAGGGAGAAAATAAGGGAAGGATGAGACATCCTTAGGGAAGAGATTATGGACTTCCTTTGTTTTGTTCAGTTGGATGGAAGAGAAGAGAAGAACCTACCAAATTCCTTTGTTCGTTGCGAGAGAAGGGAAGAAAGAATTTAAAATTATTTTTATCATTATACCTTCATTATTTTTTTTTTCCCAGAAAATAGCCATCATCTTTACTACTCATTTAAACAGTACCATTAATTTCACTCTAATTTATTGTTTGTTTTAATTTTATATATATATATATATATATATATATATAATCATATTTCATCATGTAGACTGTGTATTTTTTCTTTATGTAGACAATGTATTTTTTCTTGTATTTTTTCTTCTGAATCCTCTTTTTTACTAATAAGGAAATTATATAACATACAATCCATATATATATATATATATATATATATATATATATATATATATATATGTAATCCTTGTTTGGTTGAGATCTGGATCTTATCTATATATATATATATATATATATATATATATATATATGTATATAACACATGAATCATATCTTGATAGGTTTTTTTTTTTTTTTTTTTGCGTGAGATGAGATGTGTAGGGTTTAATTTTTAACATTTGGATAGGATAATATTGTAATTTAATAGTATTATAATAGCTCCACTTATTTTCTCTCCTGTCTTCCACCCAAATTTGGGCGGATGAAAATTTGTTAAGAGGGAAGGATAAGACATCCCTCCTTTTATCCTTTCCCTCCGTGTCTCCTTCCTACCGAACAAAGGAATTTTGTTCCTTCCTTCCTATTTTCTTTCCACCCCTCTTTCTTCCTTCCTACCAAACAGAGCATATGTTAATTTATGTTAGGTAGATGGTTTATACAAACTGAAGATAATTTATGAAAGATAATTGAATTTCATATGCTTCAACATACAATTAAAGGACCTTGATAGGCCATTCCTAGGGAAGATGGTTCATACCACAACTTAATTTAGGCAGATGACCCCTTCCAACCAAAAATGGGTTATGCTTAGTTCTAAAATGTATGAATTTCTAGAAGATGTTGTGGTTGTTTTATACTTCTATATATCATTTTATATACATAGTTGTTTATCCCCAAGTTGAATGCAACTTAGTATGTTTATGAGGTTTTGGTGAAGTCAATTCCCTAGCTTTCTTTCAATAAGTTTAATCCATTTGAATTCATTTTATTTACTGTTTTTATTCAATTTCAATTCATAGTTTTGAGTGACAAACCAATCAAACTATCATCTCCTTTATCAAACTAAAAAGTAATTTTACAACTTTGGTTGCCATAAACTAGCAATCCTTGTGGTTCGACAAACCCTTACTATAGCCCTATTCTACATTGATATATGTGTTATTGCAAGTGGTATTTTTAAGTGATAACAAATTATTGCAATAACTTTTGGCGTCGTTGCTAGGGAATGCATACGGTTTTGTAATCAAAGTTTAAAAATTGCTTTGTGTTTAATTGTATATATTTTTTATTTATTTCGATGTGTTTTATGCATTTAGTGTGTTTTTGTGTTACTAGGAACTAAAGACTTTCCAGGTGATCTAATTGCAAAATTTGAAGTCTTAAGGACTTTGGGTAAGTTTTTGAAGTTTCTAGTTTATTCATTGTTTGGCCTTGTCGAAACAAATTTTTTTGTTTTTTTTAGAGTATAGGTCCTTGTCGTGGCCATTTAAATCTATTTTTCATTATTGTTGAATTGAGGAGAAAGGGATCAATGTAGGTAGATGTATTGGTGAAAGGTTGTTGTGATTGTTATGTTTGTTAATTGATGGTAAGTCGTAGGTCATCGTCTCTACCACATCTTAAGGAACCAATTGATATTGCTTTACTCGAAAGGACTTTTAGGCAACAAAGAAGGAACCTTAGGGATCTCGAAACTATAAGAGAACTTGAAATCGAAGTAGACAATATGGCTGATGAACAAGCTAATCTTGAAAATGCTAATCTCGAAAATTCTAGAGTTGAAAATCCTAGAGCTGAAAATGAAAATTTAGCCCCAATGACTCTAAGGGATCACTTCGTACCCTCAACATATATATCTCCATCATGTATTGTCATGCCCAATGTCGAGGCTCATCATTATGAGATCAAATCTACCATAATCCGAATGCTTCCAATTTATCATGGGTTTGATAATGAAGACCCTTATAAACATCTTGATGAGTTATTGGAAATCTGCTCCACCATCAAGATGAGGGACTTCCCCCAAGATGCACTTCGTATACTTCTCTTCCCATTTTCCCTAAAAGAAAGAGCAAAGTATTAGTTGAACTCTCTTGTTGCAAATTCCATCACTTCGTGGGTCCAATTGCAACAAGAATTCCTTAAAAAGTACTATCTTGTTAGTAAGACCAACCAAATGTGTCGATCCATTCTTAGTTTTCCCCGAATTGATGGGGAACAATTTTATGAGACGTGGGAAAGACTTCAAGATTTTCTAAGGAAGTGTCCACACCACCAAATTTCAAAGTGGCAATTGGTGCAAGCCTTTTATGATGGTTTAACAGAACCATATAGACAATTAATTGATTCTTCATATGGTGGCATGTTCATGTCGAAAATTTAAATGATGCGTGGACTCTACTTAAGAATATAAGCGAAAATTCTATGCAACATAGTTCTCGTAGAGCTTCTACTTCTAATGTTGGGAAACCCTCAAATTCGTGCCAACTACGGACTCTAAGGGAAGAAGCCTCTCAAGTGGATGCCATAACCCACAAAGTTTTTGAGCTTGTGGCACCATATCTCTCATCTTCTCAGAATTCTCCATCCAGTGCTATGTGTGCACATTGCACAAGCACTTTTCATAATGCAGAAGATTGCGCCATACCGAAGCAATTTTCTGGAGGTATGCCAGAACAAGCCAATGCCATGTTCTTTCGCCCTGGAAATAATCCTTATTCCAATACTTACAATATAGGTTAGAGAGATCATCCAAATTTCTTGTGGAGGCAACAAGCCCCACAAAATTTATCATTTCAAGGTCATGGGGAATCAACTCAGTCTATTTCTCAGCCCATGAACAGGCCATTCCAAGCTTCTTCAAACTACCGTCCTCTTTCCTATAATGCGAGCTCTTATAATCAAAATCTTGCTCCTCCTAACCCATCCCAATTAGATAAGATATTGAACTCCAATAAGCAGATAATGGCTGCCATTAGTGGTATGCAATCAACAGTGCAATTGGTTAATACTCATTCCCAATCAATAGCCAACATTGAAACCCATCTGGGACAATTGGCTACTTCTGTGAACCAGTTTCATAAGAAGGACACGGGAAAACTTCCAACTCAACCTGTGGTGAACCCGAAAGGGCAATATATGATTAATGAAATCACTCCTCTGAGTGGATTAAATGTTGAGCAAGTCTAAGCAATCACCACACTTCGGAATGGAAGAATTGTGGACAATAAGGTTGATGAAAAAACTGAAACTCTTGCTCCCAAGAATTCAAGTTTTTCACCCAAAAATCTGAAAGTTAGTCCAGAAATCCAAATTCCGCCAATTCCAAATGTTGAGACATCTTATGAGCCCAAGGCTCCTTTTCCTTAACGCTTCAAAGAGTCCACACACTTTAGGAAAAAGGGCGATAAAATTCAAGAAATGTTTGAAGTGTTTAAGCAAGTAAAGATCAACATTCATCTCCTTCATGCCATTAAGCAAATTCCACCTTATGCTAAATTTCTTAAAAATTTGTGTACTCAAAAACGCATTTCTAAGAGTAATACTCCTAAGAAGGTGAGGTTAACTGAGCAAGCAAATGCTATCATTCGGCATAATACATCTACGAAGTTTAAGGATTGGGGTGCCCCGACAATCTCATATGTTATTGGAGACAATGAGATAGAAAAGGCCCTCCTTGACTTAGGATCAAATGTAAATCTGATCCCTTAGTATACTTGCAACTTGGCTTAGGAGAACTCGAACCAACCATGGTTGTCTTGCAACTTCCAGATAAATCTGTCAAACAACCTCGTGGTATCATTGAGGATGTACTCATCAAGGTAGACAAGTTCTACTTTCTAGTAGACTTCTTGGTTCTAGATACTGAACCAGTTCACGATCCCAAAAGACACATTCCCATGATCCGTGGTCGCCCTTCTTAGCCACAGCTAATGCTTCAATTAATTACTGAACCGGGGTGATGGATATTTCTTTTGGAAATATGAAGGTGAAGCTCAACATCTTTAGTGCTTCTCATCATCCTTCGAAAGAATATGAGTGTTTTTCTCTTGACACCATAAATGAAATGGTCGAAGAATCTCTCTTATTCATTCATTTCTTGGTACAAACAAAACTCTTTCGGTCATTATTGCATTGGATCTTTCCAACGACCAAGAAAATAGCCTTTTAGCGGTGCTCCAATAACACAAAGAAGTTATTGGTTGGTCGCTCCCCTCTATTTACATGCACCGTATTCTTTTGGAGGAAGATCCGACACCTTCCCGAGAGGTGTAACGCCAGTTGAATCCTAACATGAAGGAGGTTGTCATGAAATAGGTAATCAAGCTATTAGATGTGGGAATCATTTATCCCATCTCGAATAACAAGTGGATAAGCCCCACTCAAGTTGTTCCAAAGAAATTCGGCCTCATCGTTATTGAAAATTTAGCGGGGGAACTTGTGTCACAACGCACCACCACTGGTTGGCGTGTGTGCATAGATTACAGGAAACTCAATTCCACAACTAGGAAATATCATTTCCCACTTCCATTCATTGATCAAATCCTAGAAAAGCTAGCCGGCCAAAGTTATTATTGTTTTCTTGATAGTTATTTTGGCTATAACCAAGTGGTTTTAGATCCTCAAGATCAAGAGAAGACCACCTTCAATTGTCCTTTTGGAACTTTTGCTTATCATCGCATGTCCTTTGGGTTATGCAATGCAACGGCCACTTTTCAAAGGTGCATGATATCCATATTCTCTGATATGGTCAAAAAATTTCTTGAAGTGTTCATGGACGATTTTTCCGTCTTTGGATCTTCCTTTGACTCTTGTCTTCATAATCTGTCTCTTGTGCTTCAAAGATATAAGGAGACAAATTAGATCTTAAGTTGGGAGAAGAGTTACTTCATAGTGCAAAAAGGGATTGTCTTGGGACACATTATCTCTAAAAGAGGGATTGAGGTCGATAAGGACCAATTTGAATTAAATCACAGGCTTCCTCCTCCTTCTTTGGTGAGATAAATTTGATCTTTTCTTGGCCATGCTAGCTTTTATTGCCGCTTCATTAAAGACTTTAGCAAGATATCTCGGCCTTTATGTCATCTTCTTACTAAGGATACTACTTTCAGCTTTGATGATGTATGTTTGGAAGTTTTTAAGAAGCTCCGTTTATTACTCTCTTCCGCCCCAATCATGAAACCACCTAATTGGTCTATTCCTTTTGAGATCATGTGCGATGCATCCGACTATGCATTAGGTGTTATTTTGGGCCAGCGTGTAAATAAAGCTCCTTATGCCATTTACTATGCTAGCAAGACCCTCTCAGATGCTCAATTGAATTATACAATAACTAAGAAAGAGTTGTTAGCTGTTGTCAATGCCTTGGACAAATTTCATTTATATCTTCTTGGATCCAAGGTCATTATCTTCACGGATCATACCGCGTTAAGGCATCTGCTTGCAAAGAAAGAGACCAAACCTCGACTCATTCGTTGGATACTCTTACTCCAAGAGTTCAACGTTGAGATTAAGGATGTGATACCCCTCGAATCCGAGACACGGGTTGATCAGGCACAGGCCCAAACCCGAGGGAATATCAAACAATTAAAGTATTTTAATACGAACACAGATGACAAAAAGAAACAATAAAGATAGAATAAAGCTGAAAGAAATAATAATAATAATAAAACCCTCCATGTATAACTGAAAATTGAAACTCCAATCCTCCAAAACTTCAAGGTTACAACTTGGGAATCCACTGATGGACCCCTAACCAAAAGTTCAACTGAAACTGAAAATTGAAAATAGATAATGCTAGAAATATCGAGAGAAGTCCTACGTAATCAGATGAAAGTGAGACTGTCCTCGACAAGCACGATCAAGATCTAAGGTTAGAACCGTCCTGCACCTGAAAAGAATAATAAAGGAGTGGGTCAGACCCACGAGCAAGTTCTAATCTAACTGCAATCCATACAGTGACCCGATACGCAGATACATCGTAGACACCTCACAATAACTATCTAGTCCTTACATATAAATATATCAACACTAAGGGACATTCACTAGTCTATAATAGGGGTCTCAACCTAAAAAGAAGGCAACATGCGAATACGCATCCAAAGGTGAGCATGAGTGCCTAGACCTAACAGGGTACACCTTAACCTATTATAACCAGCTACGCATCCACTGCATATACGCACCCTAACCAACGAGTCTGAGACACAAGCTCAACTCGTGGTACCATAAACATATATATAAAGTCCGTCCAAATCCAGGGTATGCAATTCAACTATTTATTAAACTGACATACAATAAACCAACTAGTTAGTCACTCAACTTATTCAGTTGATATGACTTAACTACCATCCGTTAATCCAGGAAGTCATCCAACTTGGTTACAACTGATCTGACTTAGTCACAATTGGGATTCGATATCTTTCAATCCATTCCATTAATCCATTAGGTTAGGTTTATGCATTTTGAGCTAAACCGTCCCTAGTATGTCACCGTCCCATACCGGTACATACAATCCTCCACATCCATGTAAATTACAACATATATAATAGTTCAATAATTTACAGACCAAAAACCACCATCCAAATAATTGCAGAAGGAATCTTAACAATCTAGCAATTAAAACCCAGTAGTAATCCATGTAATTGCATCGAAGAATTAACTATTCTAACAATTAACATCCCACACATGCATAGTTCAAATTTAATAAAACAATGACCCTATCATGTATTTAAAATTAGTTCTATAATAATATTATAGTCTAATAAATCGCTAAATTAAACTAAGCGATCTAGTTCCCTCCATCCGGTAACAGAGTACTAAGTCATATACTTATATTTTGTTCTATCCTTTAGCACCGAGCCTCCACTATGCCACAAGTCCAATATATTACTTTAAAAGACTTCATCGTGCATCTAAAATAAATTTAAAATCATTTTATAGCACCCTAAACCATCAGATTAAAATTAATCAACAAATCTCCTTTCAGCCGTTAACTGTACGCAAAGTTGTCAAATAGCGTACTGTTAATTCCATTTAAACTAAGGGGTAAATTTATGCAATTCAAGACCTTAGTTACATGTTAAAATTATTATTTAACACCCAATTAAAATTTTAAAACTGATTAATAACCCAAAATGCCCAAACAGTGATTGAAAATCACTTTTACGCACAAAACAAAGAAAGAGCCTGCTCTAGAAAAGTAGAGTAGGCTCAAGGTGACATAGAGCCAGCTCTACCACACCTTGGAGCCGGCTCTAACAGGTGGGAGCCGGCTCTTGGCATTCCAGAGCCGGCTCTCTCTCCCCCTGTGAGCTTCTTCTCCGTTTCAGCTTTGTTCTGACCTCTGTTCCAACTCCGGCCAACTACAACCCTTCTGTTTGGTTTCTTAAACTGATCTTAAGTATTCTATTAACACCCAAGAACATCCCAAAGGTTTGATAACAACCATTAGACCTAATTACAGAGATTAAATTTTGCTACCGAACTAATATGCGATAGGAACAAATCTGAAACTATTTGACAAATTGAAACAGAACAAATTGCAACACCTATTTAAAACAGAATACTAACAACCCTATTAGTTTTATATAACCCCAGTATTGTTCCTATATATTGTTTATAGTAGTTGCAATCAAATACAGAGACTAAAGTTACAACAGAAACAACATGCTTGCAGAACAGAAAATTGGAACGAAACTTGTATGCACTGCAACAGATTGATTTTCAACACCACAGATCATCAA